AGGAGTTGGAGGTTGCTGTGAGCTGTAATGCCACGGCACTCTACCCAGGGTGACAGCTTGAGGCTCTGTCTCAAAAAAAAAAAAAAAAAAAAAAAAGAAATTAACTAAATTATTTTCAAAAGAAGTTCAAAGCTCAGTAAGTATATTCTTTTTTTCTTTTTTAGTCTTCTTTTTAATCAACTTAAGTGTTGGTTGGAAAACATTAGCATTGAGGGAAGATGATGTGAAGACAACAGGGAGAAGACGTCCATGGACAAGGAAGCAGAGAGGCCTGGAAGAGACTCTTCTCCCCCTGCCCTCAGGAGGAGCAAGCCTGCTGACCTGAGTCTCACCTGCCAGCCTCCAGAACTTTGAGACAATAAATTTCTGTCATTTAAACCACCCAATCTGTGGTACTTTGTTACCCCAGCACCAGCAGTCAGTTTTACACTGAGTTTTACAGTGATAGTTTGATTTGCCCCATTATATTTTTAAACATAAAAATTTGTGAGGATATTGATATGAAATTATAGACTAAAAAGGAAACCATGAAATAAAAGTAAATGAATATTTAACTTACAGCCAAAAGTTCCCTATATTTTGGAGGAATTGTGACTTCTCTTTTACCTAATCCCTCTATGTAGGCGGAACTCATTGGATCCTGGAAGAAAATCACACATGTAAGGATATTATGTAACTAATTAGCTGAGAATATTATACGCATATACTAAAACCAAAGTACTATTCCACTATCAATTTATGGAACCAGTGAAATGAAATCAAGAGTTAGCTAATTAATGGAATCATAATACTATTCTGAAGTTCTGCAGGAATTTAATTGGCTCAATTCACATGTAATGCTAGAAAATGTATAGAGTATTAAAGTTGATTCCCATATTAAAGATGCATTTGTTTTCAAATGTTTTCATCATCTAATGTTTCCAGTACATACAAAGGTAGAGTTAATAGTGTAATAAATTTTTTTATAACCCCATACTCAACTCCATCAGATCTATAGTTATTTCTTATGTAATTTCTAAGAAAACAAAATCACAGTGTGGATTCTCCTGCATAGCTCTCTCTATTCAGATTGCCTTTCCTTGTTACCCAGAAAGGGCTACCATCCTGAACTTTGTCCTAGCCATTCATTTAAAGGTGAGCATATTTTTATGTAGGTATTCATAAACAATGTCCTACATTACTTTGCGTATCTTTCTTCTTTTTTTTTTTTTTGAGACAAAGTCTCACTCTGTTGCCCTGGGTAGAGTGCTGTGGCCTCATAGCTCATAGCAACTTCAAACTCCTAGGCTCAAGCCATCCTCTTGCTTCAGTTTCCCAAGCAGCTGGGACTACCACAACACCCAACTAATTTTTCTAATGTTAGTAGAGGTGGGGTCTTGCTCTTGCTCAGGCTTGTCTCAAACTCCTGAGCTCAAGCAATCCACATGCCTTGACCTCCCAGAGTGCTGGGATTACAGGTATGAGCCACTGTGCCCAGCCATTTCAGCAATTCTTGTAACTCTTTGTACACAAGGGTAGGACTCCCTCCTGGTCAGGGAGGACTTCCTGGGTGAAGGTGATGCTCATCTTTAACACCCACCAGAGTTGTCAGATTTTTACAGTTTAGTTAATCTGATAAGTGCTAAGTGGTGTTTCTCCATGTTTTAATGTCATTTTCCTAATTACCAGGGAGAATTTCATCTCACGTGTTTATTGGCTAATCAAGTTTTCTCCTAACTTTCTTTTGGGTTGTCCTTTTCTCAATGCTCTTTTTTTCTTTTTTTTAATATGGAACGCTTCATGAATTTGCGTGTCATCCTTGAGCAGGGGCCATGCTAATCTTCTCCGTATTGTTCCAATTTTAGTATATGTGCTGCTGAAGCAAGCCCTCTCAAAGCTTTTTATTCTTTATAAATTCTAGAATCAAAACCTTTTCACCTGGTCTATGACATGTCTTTCTTTTTTTTTTTGAGACAAAGTCTCATTATGTCTACCAGTATGTGTAATTGGTAGAGGACCTTGGCATCACAGCTCACAGCAACCTCAAACTCTTGAGCCTAAGTAATTCTCTTGCCTCAGCCTCCCACGTAGCTGGGACTACGAGAGCCCACCACAATGCACAGCTATTTTTTTGTTGTAGTTGTCATTGTTTTTGTCAGGCCCGGGCCAGGTTCAAACCTGCCAGCCCCAGGGTAGGTGGCTGGTGCTCTAGCTGACATGTCTTTTTTTAAATAAATAACAAGGAACATAAAATTTTCTTGCTTTTCAGGAATTATAAATAGAGATTAATTAAAGGTAGTAAATATTGACAAAACAAAATAAGTTCAAAACCACTGGACTTAAATCTTGAAGACAGAAAATAAGATCTAATTGGCTATATCCCAGTGCTAATATTTGTACAATCAATAAATATTTGCTGGCTCGGCACCTGTGGCTCAAGTGGCTAAGGTGCCAGCCACATACACCTAAGGTGGCGGGTTCGAATCCAGCCCAGACCTGCCAAACAACAATGATGGCTGCAACCAAAAAATAGCCAGGCATTGGGGCAGGTGCCTGTGGTCCCAGCTACTTGGGAGGCTGGGGCAGGAGACTCGCCTGAGCCCAGGAGTTTGAGGTTGCTGTGAGCTGTGATGCCACGGCACTCTACCAAGGGGGGATAGCTTGAGGTTCTGTCTCAAAAAAAATAAAAAATAAAAATAAATAAATAAATATCTGCTGATCCCAAGTAATAGAACAGCTATCATAGGACATACCATCTCCACCTCCAACACTAATTTTTAGTTGCTGTGTCAATACTGACATCATCCTGTTTCTACCCAGTGTCAGAGCACCAGGAGCCCTCATACTCCTGACCACGAGCTCCCTGCTCTCCTGCCTACTGAGCACGAACGCCACAGATACTGAGATCACACACTGAAACTTCTGGTCCGGTATAAGTTGGACTGTCTTCCTTAGTTTCTTCAGGTTCTCCCAATGTGTCTATTAAGTCGTCCAAAGCAGCGTCCAGGCCTGACTGAAGACAAAGAGCAGATATTGAATGTCACTTTTTAAACACACTCCACTTTTGGTGTTTTGACTACAAAAAAATTATTCCACATAGAAAACCACCAAACACCAGAAGTTCTTCAAATACCAAAATAGTTAAGAGCTAATCTCAAACAGACCTTATTACTTAAGTCCCAGAGGACAAATTCAGGTAAGAATCACAATTTCAACAAGTCTAAAGGCATTAACTACATGAACAAATGTTATGTGTTCATTAAAGCTGCCAATCCAATGTACTGACAATTAAAAAAAAAGAAAAGACCCCAAAATATAAAGAATTGTGAGTTTGTTGCTCTAAGCAATAGGAGATATGCTTGGTATCCATATCTATTGCTTATACGTAGTGTTCCATAGCTTTATACAAAGAAACCCAATGAAATCTCTGCATAGTTGCTTGCCCAAAGATATTTGCAAAACAGAAATTTTCTGAGACATTAAATGTATAAAAATTAACAGTTTTTTGTGTTAATATGGGCTTAAATAAATATGACAAATGGAAGAGGGCCTCCATCCTATTTTTTGAAGGTAAGAATGATCCACTATGAACAATAACCTGCACCCACAGAGGAAACCACGTTAGGACTTCTCTGAGCAGAGGTATCTATTTATAATTAGATCTATTATAATAGTGTGGTTCGACTCTTTGGAATTTCAGGATAAAGAACTATCTGATGTTTCTTAGCAGTACCTCTTGTTAAAGAAGGTGTATTTGCAGGAGAGAAAGTGGAATGTAAACTCCATGGGATGAAACTGGAGTTTTCAAAATAGAGGAGTATAATATAAAATCTTACAAACTTATGTGTAAAAACCACACTTTCAACCCAATCATACTAGTTTGAAATAATAATTCATTAAAATGGTCCTTTAAGTTACCCTCCTTCCAACATTTGCCCACAAAAAAATCAGTTTATGATAAACATAGGGCATGTAGGTGAATACAATTACACTGCTCTCCTCCTACCTTTCCAGATGGTTTATCCAGTTTGGATTCAACTGGTACAGCTGGAGATAATGGTTTCTCTTCTTTTTTCTGGTGGGAGGTGGGGGAAAAAAAAAAAAGAAAACTCCTTCTCACATGCCTTTATAGAACTCAAGGTCATGATATTACATATTTTAAAATGAATTCACTATAATTAACAGCACCGATCGCACACTAAACGCCTGCCCTATACTGAATACTGGGCTGTATGTTTTCTATCATTTTGAGAAACAACTTAATATTCACCTTATTTAGAGAGATTAAGTAACTTTCCTCAGGTTGTCCAGCAAGGAACACAACCAAGATTTGAACCCAGGACCGTCTGCCTCTTTGTTATTCTTTTACAGGGCCCACAGCCAGTCTTTGCAAAATCCATGAGTTCCTTCTGAAGGCTGCCACTTCCAGCTGTGGCCCTCCAGTGTCTGCCCTGCTGCACACCCAGACTTCCATAACCCTGCTTTGGCATCTCATCACTCACTGTCCTTAGTTTTCCTAAAACAAGTTTATCCCTCACAGAGCCAGATGCTCTGCCAAAGAAATCCATATCCTTCCAATCTGCAATTCCCAAGTCTGTGTTCAGACGTAATCTCTGGAGCTTGACTCCCCCCATAACTCATCTCTCCCAGCTGTCAGCCCTAGCACCATGCCTGACCCTGCTCTGTGTCTATGCCCTTTGTCTTCCGCCACCTCTAGTGTCCATTCTTGACCTCCAGCTTCACACATCCCTCATGTTTCTGCCCTACGCTGGCCATCCTACCTCTAGGCCCAAGGGTCAAACTTTCAGGGATTGGCAGGAAATAATATGGAAAGTTGTTAGATTTAATCCACAGTGGACCATATTCCATTTGAAGGTGCCCAATTTCTGGCAGCAAAGTGCAGGAAGGGCACAGGCTCTGACTGGATATACTCCCCTGTCAAGACAGGTGTGGCTGCTGGAGACACTGGCAAATTACTTCCTAGAGAAAATGACTGTACCTACCTCAGGGATTGGGAGGATTAGATAAATCTACGTGAAGTATGAAAACCAGTTTAGCACTTGCTAAGCACTATGTAAGTACTTGTATATATAATAATTAAGCTCTAAATAAGTGATTGCTGGAATCATAATACTAAAAATACCATGGGGACTGCAGGGTGTGACCCTCAGTCTGGGCAAGGGAAACACTTCCATGATTCAACCACCACCTCAAGCAGATAGTGACTCATATTCTCTGCCCCACCTCCCTCCTCCTTCCTCCTCTCTCAGAGTCTCTCTTTCTCTGCCCTCTTTCTATCCTCTCACCCCTTTCTTTCTTTAACTCCTTCCCCCCCTCCTGTCTGTCTCCATTCCTTAGTATTTATACTCCAAAAAAATATTTTAACTGCCTTGTGACACAGCTTTCTTTGAACATTTCACTTAAATTCAGCCAGCGTACAATCAGACATCAATCTCTCTCCCCAAACAATCTCTCTTCTGACTTCTGTCCACCTGTCAGTTTTACCCAACGGATTGCGAGGTGCCCAGCTCACAAGTTAAGGAGGCACTCACCCTCAGGAGTCAACCCTGCACTTGCACAGACCGGAAGGTGAGCACCTCCTTAAATGTTGTGCCCTTGGGGCCTCCCCTGCCTTACCTAAGGTTTACCAACCTACTTCAATCAGATTTGGAAGCCTAGGTTATCTTAGACCTCACTTTGCCTTTGCCCATTTCAGCCAATCACTTCCTGAAATCAGAGGATTTCAACTATGCAATGACTCTTGTATATCTCACCATTTTCTTATTCAGTCACAACTCTAACTTAGGCTAAAGTATCACTCACCAGAAATACTGAAACAGTACAATCTAGACAACCTTCCACCGTCTTATCGCTATTCATCCCACCTCCCATAGTCCTATAATCCTTCTGCAGCTTGGTTTCAACCAAACCACTGCCTCTGTTCTGTGATGGCTATCCACTGTCAGCTGAATCACTACACGTATAAACTCACCTTACCCTTCTTCACATTATCACATAACCTGTCTTTCTGCTCTTACCACCCCACCCACTCTGTGCTGCACCTATACTGGAATGTACTTTGTGCCCAGAACAAATTCTTTTTTTGTTTGTTTGTTTGTTGTTGTTTGAGACATAGTCTCACTCTGTCGCCCGGGGTCGAGTGCCACAGAGTCATCATAACCCATAGCAACCTCAAACTCTTGGGCTTAAGCAATCCTCTTGCCTCAGCCTCCTGAGAAGCTGGGACTACAGGCACCTGCCACTACACCTAGCTAGTTTCTCTGTTTTTAGTAGAGACAGGGTCTTCTTGCTCTTGCTCAGGCTGGTCTTGAACTCCTGAGCTCAAGTGATCTAGCCACCTCAGCCTCCCAGAGTGCCAGGATTATAGGTGTAAGCCACTGTGCCTGGTCTCCCAGAACATATCTGATACTTCTCAACACCATGATGTATTAGTGAGCCTGCAATACCAGTTCTCCATCCAGGCCTAACTCAAATCCCATCTACCTTTCAAAGCCTTTGTAGATTCCCTGAAATCACACAGAATACCTCCATTTTCACCAAACTGCTCCCCATGGGGGTTTTCCTTAATCTGCCTTGTGCTATAGTCAGCTGTCTTCTCTCCACCCCTCACTGCCAACCTGCAGCTAGCATGTCCTACAGAGTCAACCACTGTCTTCTGAACATGCTATATATTGAAGCAAGAAGGCAGGTCTGATCACTCCATTTAATGGAGAAGAATCAGAAACAAAAAAAGTGAAATGACGTGCACCAAGTTCCAACACAAGTCAAGGCACAACAGAATTCTATACATAAGCCACTGCTAGACTTCAACTCCTGGGCTCAAGAGATCCTCCGGCCTCAAGTTTCTCCTAATTTTATTATTTAGTTTTTACTAATAATATTGGCCAATTTATACCTAGCACAAAATGTAAAACTTTGTTTGCATTTAAAAATATATTCTAATATATCCAATCCTTGGCCTTAAATCTATCCATTTTCTAACCATTTCATTTACGTAGTCCCCATCAGCACAAATGAGTAATAAGTGTTCCTGGGGGTGAGGGCAGGAGTCTCAAGACAGTGTACAAGTGATCTGCTACAAGAAAAAAGAATGAAGTTGGGTATTTTCAATTAGAAGTTTCTGAACACCCTTGAGAAAAACCCTCTAGAAAAAAAAATAGAAGTTTTTATAAATTTTGCCTTTACTCCATAGGAGTTTTCTTCTAAAATTCAAGGAAAAATATTTCAGAAAGATGTGCCATATTTTACCCTCTGGCTTTCTTTATCATACAGCCTTTAGGGAGATATTCTTCCCATTTTTAGAAGCAGGCATATAAATAGTTAATACTACATTTTAAAATTTTCATTTCCATCTTGTCATTGGTGCTCCAGCTACTGATTGAAATGCTCGTGAAAATGTTATTTTCTTTATTTCATAGCTATAAAGCTGGAAGACAGGGTCTGAATCAACTCCCAAATTAATTTCCTCAGTCCTGACACCAGGCTTTATTTATGGCAGGTACACCTTAACCATTTATTGGATATATGAATTTTAAAATCATTGTTGGTATCTCTTGTTCAATTTATATCCCTTAAACGCACACTCTTTTTATGAAAGTTCACATATGAACAGGATTCAGTTTAATCAACTGACAGGTTACCTGAGTGTGTGCTTCTTGTAAGGTAAATGTGGCCAGCCCAGAGGCCCGTGCCTGTCTGCCTCGTGTGCTCACCTTGTCACCAGGTCTGCCCGATGCTGCAGCTACACCAGCAGCAACACTCTCTCCACCAGCAGAAATTGTGTCTTGTGGTTTGGTCTAAGAGTGAGGATGAAAGATTGACAGGACTAGGTCACAATGAACATCCCGTGATCACGCTTTTCAAACATGAAAAGCGTGGCCCCATGAGCGCAGCAGTGAAGTGGCGTGTAACACGGGCAGTGCCGTGCCAGGCACCTTATGAGGCTGGACTCCAGGGCCTATGGAGTTCACGCAGTTAACACAAGCAGGAGATTGGGCCTGGCAGGGGCCACAGTAAGCTGCAGCATATGAGCTGGGTGTAATGGCTGTTGGCCACTGTTACTGTAGGAGCCCACTGTGGTTCAAGAGTCTGATTTGTCAAGAGAAGCTAGAAATTAGGACTTTATGTAATTTAATCCGACTTTAATTGCTAGTAATTAAAAATAATTTTTTTATCCAGAAATAATTCCAGAGATGCAAGCACATATATTTATTGCTTTATATTCAAAGACATTACAGGAGACTGCTGTCTCCTCCCCCCAATCAGAGCTCTGAGCTGTCTTTACATATCAACACATCTATCCAGATCTCATTTTTTAAAAACGATGATACAGATGTCTTACATACACTTTATTTAACCTGCACTTTTTTATGGTGAACATTTAGGATATTTCCATCAATAGTGCTCAGCTCTTACAAGGGTTTTTCTATTACATTTTTTTTTTACCACTACAAAATGTGTATGTATTTCTTTATGTATATATTCTTACACTATTAAATTGAAAGCTTTATCCTTGCTTTCCAACAGAAGAATGGGGTCAAGGTAGTGAACAGAGCTGCCAGATTCCTTACACCTATAGTGAATAATAGTCTTTTAGCTTATGTTTACTCTCCCACTCTCTGCCCATTTTTTTCCTTCATATATTTTTAAAAATAATCTTTAACAACATTGTAAGCCAAACAAAATACATGTGGTAACACTTAACTGGTGGGTCACAAATTTGGGATCTCTGATATAAAATACATTGTAAAGCAAACCTAGTTATTATCTTCTAAGTTCACTCAATGAAAAAGTTCTTCTCATAGAAGTTAATTCTTCTAAAAGCTGGCTGTTATTAATTACATAATTACAAAATAAATTTCTGATTTTTGGCTGTACAAGTTCATCCCTTCTACAATACTCTAAGAAAAACGCTTTAAGACTTTCATTTAAAGAACCAGATAGCATAGGGTATCTGTGTCTCCCTACCCCAGGCATGAAGGTGACCAAAGGCAACCTCAGTCCAAAACGTCCTGTCTGGGAGAGGCCAGAGCCTGCTGTCCTGCTGGGCAGTGGAGTAGGGCTACACAGTGTATTCACTAAATCCATCTGATGCCCTTCTCAGGCCCTCTGTAACCCCAAGTTTCCACAACAGTCTTTGCAAAACCAATAGCACCAAACATTACAATACAAAAATCTATGCAGCACAGCTCCAAACACTCCAAAACACTACATACTTCTGTGTGAACAGAGGAGCTGTATCTCATCACCCAGCTGATACTGGTGTTTTCCTATCAACCTGCTTTACTTACCTTTTGTTCCATTGGTTTCTCTGATGGCACCTGTTCGCTTGATCTGGAAACTGCTCTTTCACTACGAGCATGTTTACTTCCTTTGTCTGAGGCATGCTTGGGCAGGCTTTTTGGCTAAAAGCACACACACATACAATGAGATTAACAAGATGGTAGTTTTTCTACCCAGGGGGACAGCTTGAGGCTCTGTCTCAAAAAAAAAAAAAAAAACAAAAACAAGATGGTAGTTTTAAACACTGATACTTTTCTCTATAGAATAAAAATTGTTCATAACAGGTGTGCTGTTTGTAGTTTTAAGTTATGCAAATTTGAATTAATTTGATGTACATGTGATAGAATTTCACTATAGGTCAAAGGCACAGAATTTGAAATAGTGCAAACTCTTCCCCCTGAATTCAGCAAGAATCTAGAGTAAATTATAAACATTGCTATTGCCACATGATGGCACCATTTAGCTGAACAAACAATTAACCAGCTATCCACTGTCAGGATGAGTCTTGAATGACAGGAGTTTCAGTATGCCTCACAGAAAGATGTGATCGTATCAAGTCCTAAGGATAATCACTTACCTCTGTGTGTTTTTCTGGCTTTCCTTCTTGGGATTTCTTCTCAGGAACCACAGAGGGCTGTCAATTTCAAAAGGTTAAAATTCAATAACATTGCAATATACTATTTTGATATTTCTAAATGGGCTGAAGAATAAAATTCCCATTAAAACATTTTGCCTTTCTCAGGAATAGGCCACTTGGGCCCAAGTCTTTGGAGTCAGAGACATAGATATGAGCCAGTAACAGTAACAGCCAGTAACTATCTAGTCAACAGTAACCCTACCAACAGTCTCCAATAATGTTGACTATCAGAAGAATAATGAAAACTTAGTATTTCACCTAAATGATGTTTTAACATGTGTATCTCTAAATTACTGGCTGTTTTCCACAATTCACACAGATAAACTGGGAACTGCAAATCTATCTACAGAGAGATCATATGATGAATGTGACCACTGGGGTTGGTGACAGGGGATCCTACTTGAGACAGTAGTTTTTTAAAAAATCTTTCCTGGGAAATAAAGAACACTGTATCTTCTTCAATATAATGATTTTGCAGTTTTTTGTTACCACAGGGAAGTTATTATCACCAGACATCCAATTCTCTTGAGATGCGGTAGATCATCCAAAGCATTTAAATGTGGAATGAAGACAATTTCCACCTAGCCGCTAGATTCTTCACTCTCCAGTTACTATTCGACTGCCATCCTCAAGAGCCCCCAAAAGGCCTTACAAAAAATCGGATCAGCCTCACCTTTTCACCCTCACCTGCACTTCATGACACAGGCCCAAAGCACCACTGTGCTTTTCCACAGGAAACCCTGTGGTCTTATCTGAGTATGTGCTTAAGCTCTTAAAAAAATAAATTACAGCACCTTATTGACAAGAAACATTTATGCTGTCACAGATATCCTATGGTACACCTCCATGCTGAGGCAGGAAGACTCTCATTCTGGAAGCTGTGAGTTAGGAAAGCAAGAGAAGTTGGTCTCCTCAGTAACAGATCACTAGCTCCACAACTGAGATGAGATAGTCAAGATGCACTCAGCAGGCTTAGGGAGAGACCCGTCCCTCTGTCATCTGGGTGCTGAGTCCGGTGGAAACCTTACTCTGTGTCTCACTGGAGCTGTGACTGGACGCCCACTGCCCTCTGTCCTTTCTCCTTTGCCCCTATCACTTCATTTTTTAAACAACTGCTTTACCTATAACAAAAATCTAGATTTGAACAAAATGCCTTCTGAAATACATTGTTTTTATCTAGAAAATATTATATATTATTTTAACAATGTATAGATTTGATGTGATACTTTATATGTGCTCTCCACCTACACAACAATATTCAAGTGTGTGGTTCAAAAATAATCAGCTGACCAACCCTGCACTATTCAGTAGCACCAGTGTAGAGAATTGGTCACTTACTCTTATTATTAGAAAGAATCCAAAGAACTCACTAGCAGTTTTAAAGCATTTACCTTAGTTGATTGTGACTTCTCAGGTTCTGTCTTTACAGCCTAAGTTTGGGGGGTGGGGGGGAGAAAAGAAAGGAAGAAAGAAGGAAAATGGACACAGTTTACAAAGACTATCATAGATTTTCATCAACTAAAGAAGCTCAAAAGAAATGGTTTTGATGTAATTATAAATTTAATTATAAATTTATTACACTTTACTTGGACTTGTAACTCCAGATAAACCCTTAAGCACAATAATTAATGTTCTGCTCTTACTATTCAGATAGCAATTTATATCTTTCTCTGGCTATGTGTATCAAAGACATGTTAAAAAAACAAGATTTATATTATAGCTAATACGTAACATACGATGACCCTCATCCTTCAAATATGTTTTAAAACCATTAGTATTATATATTTTTTCCTTTTCAATTTCTTTTCTTTTTTTCAAATTAATGAGGTACAAATTTTTACGCTATATTGTTTTCAATTCTAGGGTAAAGTTCAAGTTGTAGTTGTCTTTTCAATTTCTTTTTTTTTTTTTTTTAATTTCAGGTTAAGGTGAGGGTACAAACCACCAGGTCACAATATTTGAATTAGGTAGAGTCCCTCTTATAGTTGTGTCCTGCACTCAAAAGGTGTGCTATACTCCCCTACACTGTGCCCATTAAGCAGGAAAAACCATTAGTATCATATTTTCATCTGTAAAACACCACAGTTTGGCTGACAGTGTAAAAACAATGGGATGGTGACAGAATCAAGGGCACAGGAAGCAGTGAAATGTACTGTCAGTGCCAGAATGTGACTGACAGGCAATTAAGCCTGCGGAGCCCATGGCAGGGCAGAGAGTCACTGAACTCTGTACACTGGAGCGATGAGCACATGCTGAGCAGCTGGGTGACTGGAGCAGACAGAGGCCCAGCACAAGGAACCAGGTCACCTGTTTCTTCCATCTTTTCTTGTTAGGAAGATTTGGTCCTTCCATCTGTTTGCAGATTAGAATGGCCGAATATAAGAGAAAAGCCCCAAGTGTAATTTTATTTTATCTGACAAATAAGTAACATGCATAAAAAAGGTTAAAATAACTATTCCAAAATCCATTCTATTAATTTTTTATCTACTTGATGCACATATGTATATATGTATATACACATGCACACATTCACACAGGGTAGACATAAAGTTTCTGCATAATTTATAATGTAAATACATGTATGTAAAAATACACATACATATGAAACTCCAGGAAGTTGTAGGCACTTACACTTTAAGGTCTCAAGCAAATATTTCAGTTTGGGTTTACATTTTTTCAGTAAAGATTTCCACTGATAATTTTAATTTGATTGCTTTCCTTTCTTTCTCTGTATAAAGGCTATATGAGTAATATTTTTCCCACCTATATTTCCAATGGTTGGTCATAATCAAATATTTAGAGGGGCTATAAGTTTTTCTGAAATTCTATCAACATGACATTTTAAAAATTTTTGTAAATATTTAGTGCATGGATTTTTACTGGGCACGTCACAGCTCTGTATGCAGAGATCTAATTTAAAGTTCTAAGAACGCTTCTGAAGAATAGGTTGTAATTTAGAACCATTAGTGTGATATTTTACTCAGTTCTACCCAATGAAAGGCTACCTGTGTAAAAGAAGATAATTCCTTATGTACACGCATACATTTTTGATATAGGGAAGATATGAAATCAGAATTAAATTTGATTAAACATTTTATGAACTTTTCAAAGATATTACAAATTAGGCCTAATGCTTTCTGCCATTTCACCTCCTTTTATCTGCTTGGTGTTATCAGCACAAACTTCTATATTTGTTTTACTATCTAAAGAAGCTAAAGTCAAATACTCTCTTAGTTTATCTTGTTTTATGCTTCAGTAATGACGATGCATACTTTCTTCACATAATGACTGCTTGTTATGCCAACACACTTACTATTTTGGGAAAGAAAGAAAATTCATAATTGAAGAAGTGTTCTTTTTAAAAATTTAAATTTTACACCCTTGCTAATGAATTTCTGTTTATGATATTATTCATTTTTGAGTTTATGCAATTTATTAAATGATTAACAAGGAAAATAAGGCAACTGCTATTGTGGTGATCTGAATCTATTAATAGCATTCCATCTGTAAGTTGGCAATACAAATTTTTGCATGAGAGAACGCTACACTACAATTAAGGATGTATTCTCACAGACAAAAGCAGCTTGCTCAATCAGTAATTGCTCAATTTATTCTTGGTAGTGGAGGCACCGAACATTATAACGACAGCCATAATAACTAATGTGTATCAATCACCTCTTAGGTACCAGGGACTGTTCTAAGCTCTATGTCCTTCAATTCACTTAGTCCTCACAACAACTCTACAATGCTGTTTGAGGTAAATATCAGAAGAAAAGTTCAGTTTCCAGAGACCCCCATAAATGAGGAAGAGCATGTTGACTTCCATAGCTTAAACTTTCTCAGACACAACTCATTTGTCAACAAGTAGTCTACATTTGTTTTGCTTTATAATATGTTCAACTGAAAGCAGTGTTCGGCTCGGCGTCTGTGGCTCAACCGGCTAAGGCGCCAGCCATGTACACCCAAGGTGGCGGGTTCGAATCCAGCTCGGGCCCACCAAACAACAATGACGGCTGCAACCAAAAAATAGCCAGGCGTTGTGGCGGGCGCCTGTGGTCCCAGCTACTTGGGAGGCGGAGGCAGGAGACTCGCTTGAGCCCAGGAGTTGGAGGTTGCTGTGAGCTGAGATGCCACGGCACTCTACCGAGGCGGACAGCTTGAGGCTCCTGTCTCAAAAAAAAAAAAAGAAAAAGAAAGCAGTGTTCATCCAAGTTGACCCGTGAAGGTTCTTCATACCTTAGTTTCTGTGGGATTCATACTAGAAAACTTGCTCGGTGCACCCAAGGAAGCTGATACCTAGAAAGGAAATAAATAGAAAGTCTGATCCCAGGTGTATGTAACCTCCCATCTGCGTTGCCCCACACTGCCCTAGCCTTCTCGCCCTGGTTTTATCTAGTCAGAACACCACATCCACACCGCCACCCCTGTTGCCCCAATTGCCCCAGTGGTAAAAAGTCTTTGAAACCAGATCAATTGACTTCAAATTTTAGGTCTGCTATCTACTAAATAATTTTGGGAAAGATACTTATATTTCATGATCTCCAGTTTCCGATCCTTAATTTTTCTTACTTTCTGAGTTTATTATAACGATTACTGCCTGGTATATTTGCTGTTCATTATTTTCAGAAAGAACATGGACTTTGAAACTCAACAGAATTTTGTTCAAATCCCAGCTCTGCCAATTAGCTCTCTAACCTTGAGCCTTAGTTTTCCAGGTATATAAAACAGACCAATATGGCCAGGCATGGTGATATACACCTGTAATTCCTAGCACTTTGGGAGGTCAAGGTTGGGGAGAGATTGCTTAAGCTAAGAAGTTTGAGAACAGCCTGAGCAAGAGTGAGACCACATTTCTCCTAAAAACAGAAAAACTAGCCGGGCACTGTGGCAGGCACCTGTAGTCCCAGCTGCTCAGGAGGCTGAGGCAAGAGGATTGTTTGAACCGGGAGTTTGATGTTGCTATGAGGTAGGCTGAGGCCATGGTACTTTACCCAGGACACCAAGTAAGACTCTGTCTCAAAAAATAAATAAATAGATAAACAAAATAAAACAGACCAATAAGATCTATTTTGCAGAGATAATGTGTGTAAAATATCTGGCACATTGTTGGTGCCTTTGTAATATATTATGTAAGAGGAACAAGGACATAGTTCCAGGAAATAGACTCTGGTAGGTGGGAACTGCCTTTCGTATCATGTAAGGAAGAGATAGTGGGAGACAAGGTTGCAGAGGGAATTTTTGCTACATTATCCCGTCCCATGTAGGCTCTTTCTCAGAGGGCAAAAGGTGATAAATGGTAACTAAAGTACTTAATAAACACCCTTCCCAGAGATGCCTGGAGGTGGCAGAATCAGCTCCTGCAATCTAATCACCTGAGCAGCTGGACGGGCTTGTCAATACTTTCATGGTATTGAGTACTAGGCTAGTACTTAACTTCTATTGCACTGGTTAATATTAAATAGTTATTATCTCTGCAAATTCCAGTTCAGACTCCTTAACATTTGAATGGCTCTACAGCCATTATCCATCAGGCTCTAGAGCCAAGGGATTCCATCTGGCATGAGGTGCCTTCTTTAGCAATCGCTGACAGTAAACAGCCACTGCCCGTCAAAAACACCCAGGGAAGCCTCTAATGTGGTCTTCACTCTCCCTACTGCCTGGCCCTCACCCACTTCAGAAGCCAAGCTGCAGGGACGCACAAGCCCATCTCTGCTTCTCTCTAACCTGCCCCTATGTCTAGCACACGACCGCTCAAGGTGAGTGACTGAAACATGCTGCTTCTGGCCCACAAACAAAAATCACCTTCCCTGCAGACATCAGTTAATGTAGAACATAAGGAAGCTTGTAATTAAATGACCAAAATTTGCAGATGAAAGTCCAAAGATTCAGTGCACTGATTTTTCAAACCTAATCATATGAATTTAACTATCCCATAGCAACCTTAGGCACCAATTGGGTACCCCTCCCGATAAGCCCCCTACAAACCTCTGGTAACTGTAGCAAGGCATAGAACAGTCTCTCTCATATTCTCTGTGGATAAAAAACTAGAAGATGCACCAAGAAAGATTTTCCCCCATCGAATTACGGAAAAATATATGAATATCCAGTTTTTCCTTGAGAGTATTTAAAAATTTATTGTGATAAAGTATCCATAGTTCCAGGTGGAAAGTTCCATCTTTCCACAATTAGAATTAGCTATATAAATTTCTGTTCAAACTCAAGAAGTTCCATTTTGCTACGTCCTATTCTGTCAGTGATTCCCCTTAACTGTATAGAACTACCACAGAAACCAAATACTCGGAGTAAACGTGCTTCTTAAGATGAACATCTTTAAGGTAAATATTAACTTATTTTTTAAGCATTTAAATTTATTAAAACATTCATAAAATTACATAGATTTGAGTTGTCCAGTCTTACTCCTTTATTAAATAATACCTTGAAGTGACCCTCAAATTTTAGAACAAAGATTTCTGAAGGCCCACCAAGAGTACAAACAATAGCTATAAATAAGCACGAAGCCAGTTAGAAAGGGAATTCACAGGAAGGCCTTGGACCCTCTTCTTTTCAATATAGATTCTTCTATGACTGTTTTATCCCCTCACTAAGGGACCAAGCCATTTGAAATTAAAATATGAAAGCTGCGGGGTGGAGGCTGTGGCTCAGCTGGTAGGGCACTGGCCCCATATACCAAGGGTGGCGGGTTCAAACTCAGCCCCGGCAAAACTGCAACCAAAAAATAGCCAGGCATTGTGGTGGGCGCCTGTAGTCCTAGTTACTTGGGAGGCTGAGGCAAGACAATCACCTAAACCCAGGAGTTGGAGGTTGCCGTGAGCTGTGTGATGCCATGGCACTGTACAGAGGGCAATAAAGTAAGACTCTGTCTCTAAAAAAAAAAATAACATGAAAGCTGCTTCATGGGGGGATGGAAATAAGAGAAATAAACCCAATGCATTATTGACCCATTCAGCTCTGGCTTACTGTAACTTGCTCATTTTTTTATTCCATCTATAAAGGCTAGCAACTTTCAAAATTTGTTACCTCTGGTGAAACATTTTCATTTTAAATTCTTGTGTACTGTTGAATTTTAAAATGCTCTAAGGGAGGCATGAAGAGAGACCCATGTGACAAAACAAATATGTGAGTGCTAACTTTCAGGACCACATCAAATAGTCTTGCTGTATTATCAAGTAAATAAATCAATACTATAATAGTCAATACTACAATAATAAAAGAGATTAGCTGCAGCCCAGAAAAAAATAACTTAAGCCTGTACTTAATCTTTTCTGGCATTATTCAACAGAATCTCTTTAAATTTATTTACTTGCTCAGTAAAATTTTAGAAGTTCAACAGAGTATATGTTTAGAGCTAGGAGAGGAAGATAATATGGGAAATTGAAAGATGTTGTTTTTAGCTGGGCATTGTGGCAGGCCCATGTAGTCCCAGCTACGTGGGAGGCTGAGGCAAGAGAACCACCTAAGCCCAAGAGTTGGAGGTTACTGTGAGCTGTGACACCACAACACTCTACCAAAGGCAACATAGTGAGATTCTGTCTCAGAAAAAAAAAAAGAAAAAAGAAAATTTTTTCACATATTTTGCAAAGGTCTCCCAAGCCCAGGGTTTTACTATCCTATGCATTCTTGCCAGATGAATCTCTCCCTAAAGGAAAACCAGCCATGACTGGTTCTCACTGTGTTCACTCCATCATGCAGAGGACACTGAAACCCTTTCTCTTGCCTTCAAAGTCTGTCTCCAGTGTCACCTTACCTCGCAGCACAGAACCTCCACACCAAGCAGCCAGTCTCTTCTTGTTTCAAGGTGCATCTCTCTCTTCTCTCCCTGTATATTTTTTGAGGCAAGTGCCACTGGTGGGTATGCTTCTCTCCCCAAATATTCCAATCCTATGCCCTCTTCATGTGTATCTAACTGGCTCCCAGCCCCGGCACGCCCCTGACCAGCACGCACAGAGGAACCACATAACTGCACTGTCAATCAACAGTCTCCTCCAACGGGAAGAATTGTCGTTGGGCACACTCGCCTGCCACCCACTGTCATCACTGCAGATCTCTATCCTGAACTTTTTCATTCTGCAGGGTGTCTAGGGAGGCTGTGTGAGAGGAGAAGAGCCAGGACCAACCTTAACCAACTTGAGAAGCAGAATGGGAGTGCAGGGGGCTATGAGTCCTGTAGGTCCTGGCAGGTGGCCCAGGATGGGAGGGTAAGGGCTTCTATCTTTGGGCTCCTAAATGTCCACTCATCTATTCTGCTGCCACCACCTCTGGCTGATGAGACGGTCAATCCCTCAGCTCCTTACTTCTGTGCCCTTGGCTCTCAGTAGGCTTTCAGCCACCTTCCAGATACTTCTTCCTCTCCATCTAGCCATGCATTGTCCCCTCGACCTCTCCCCTTGCCCCCAGCTGGCTGGGCTCAGAAAGCACACACAGGTGGCACCTGAAGTCTCTCTCCTACTACCGGTGGCACATCCTGTCCTCCCTCCTGCAACAGCACTCGGCCTCCACATGCCTGGACCTGCCTGTGTTTGCTGAGGGCACTAAGAACGTCAGGCTGCTTGTGTGCTCTCCTTCCCCACCCGGGACCCACTGGCACATAAACTGAGTCACTGCCCACTGTCCTCCATGGCTGCCGTGGCCCTGGCAGCCCTTGGTTCTCTCCTCAAATCTCTGACCTATTTTCTCCTGGAAGCCTCTTCCCTGTACTCCGCTCTTCTCTGTGTTCATTCATATACAGTCACAAGCCTCTGCCTTTGTCCCATCGCTCCCATCCCTACATGGGGTCTAGCACTTGTCACTCATGCCAGGAAGACATCAAGGCCCTTCTGACAGTGTGTGTGCCTTGCTTTCCACCCCCACAGCACCCCACCCTCATTTATCTTTCAACTTTCTGTCAATGGCTGACTAATCTTTCTAAAATATATGTGCGGGCAATGCCTGTGCCTCAAAGGAGTAGGGCACCAGCTCCATACGGCAGAGGTGGTGGGTTCAAACCCAGCCCCAGCCAAAAACTACAAAAAAAAAAAAAAAAAAGCAAAATAAATGTGCACCACATTTCCACACTGATAAAATATCAGTGGCTTTCCACTATCTGGACAAAGTCAAATCCCTTCTCCCTGATTTCTACATTCTTCATGATTTCACCTCACCTACTTATTCAATCCTCCTCTTGCCACAGTCCCAGTCCCGACTCCCCACCAGCCAGGTCAACGTCCTTCCCACCTCATGAGCACCTCCTTGGGCAGCAGGACACACTGGGCAGAGCCTGAGCAGGGACTCTGGAATCC